ATTCCGCTCTTGGGCGAGATACCTTTACAATTTTGGAGACACTACTAAACTACGAACAGAAGAGCAACCGACGATGGAATACCATAAACTTCAGCTCAGGCAATCATCCCACAAAACCAGAGATACACGCAAGGCTCAAGCATAATAAGAACGCGCAGAATGGAAAAAATCCGGGATTCTTGATTCCAGACAAAGAAACTGTCAGTCCTGTTTATTTTATTATTCTACTCATCATTGTTATAATTGTTACCTGGGCAGCCTCCATTATTGCAATTTTTGGTCTCTTTGTCAGGTCCAAGTTGTGAGCAGTCTTTTCCACCGGGGCTTGGGGCAGGATTGGTGCAGGAACGACTGCGGCTTTGACGCCCATTTCCACAAGTTACAGAACACTGAGACCAACCTCCCCACGCTGAATAGCCACCGTCATCTATAAAGTAAATGCATAATGCCCAGTAAAATAAGCCCCGATATTTGCGTTTTCTATTGTTTTTTGTCCCTGTCTCAGCTTCCAAAGTGATCCTTGCCAAATTGTGCAAGTAGAAGTTGAAGGCTGTCATAACAACAGCCGTGTTATGTTGTCTGGCATAGCTCAGAGTTTTAGAGCATCTGTCGGGAGAACCCGGAGTTTTTTGTCGAGCAACATGTTCATTGACTGGCTAGCATCTTGCCCATATTCTCAGATCACATTTCTAGCCAGCTTAACAGATGCCTCTCTCCAACTTCTCTAGCTGCACGTGTAAGTATTGCGAATCTACTTTTTTTTTTTAGTAAAAGGGACGAGAAAAACAAATTACAAAAAGATCATCTTACTTGTCTTGCATCCGTAAAACTCAGCCCTTAACGCAATGTACCCGTACCAGTCTTCTGGGACAATTCTCAAATACCTTGTCCTGATTGGCTTTTCTAAGTCATGGCCTACCACTGTGTATCGGTCACTGTTTGCCTTAAATGTCTTGACAAATAAAAAATAGAAACCAACTTTAACCATACTAAATAATATATTGCAAGCAGTAGTAGTTCTGTATANCCCTTGACAAACTGGCTTAAATTTATAAAAAACACTGTAGCCCGTGTGGAGGCTGGGTGGTCTCATGGTTAGTGCGCTCGACTCCGGATCCCAGTCGAGCGGGTTTGAACCCCGGCCGGAGAAATTCTGTTGTGTTCTTGGGCAAGACACTTTATTTTCACAATGCCTCTCTCAACCAAGGTGCACAAATGAGTAGCGGCGAATTTAAAGCGGGGGGTAGCCCTGCGTTGGAGTAGCATCCCATCCAGGGAGGAGTAGAAATATTCCTAGTCGCTTCATGCTACAGAAATCGGGATAAGCTCCGGGCTGAAGGGCCATTGGTTCGTATGCAGACTGAACTTTTGTTACCTTTACTGTAGCCTGTGTACAGGAAGCCGAACGGAAGGTCAATCACAAGTTGACCCATTGTGTAAAAAATAATCATAAAATACCTTGACTACGCCATCCTCTTTGTAATCTTCAAAGAACACTCCATCATAGCTGTAGCTAAGACTGTAGCTCGTTACCCACCATCCTCCATCCTGTCTTCCTTGAGTCGCCACCTTTGTAACCTGAGTCCAGTCACCAAAGTTCACTTCAAAGTATTGGAACTCGTTATTTGTGGAGACAGCCCAAGCTCCGTACTGGCCTGATGATGCCTGAAAATGTAATCGACCGTTTCTTGGTCCCATGGAGTTTACATTGTATGACGTGGATGCCCTCAGAGCGGAGTCTGGTATCTGGTTGTTTTGCATTCCAAGAGGTGCTT